AGTGACAGACAAAGATGCAATAAATTTTTTTTTCTTCCATAAATCTTACCGAGCGAGAGTACAATATAGAAAATAAAAGGGTAATGTCCAGAAGTGAATAGACAGTAAACAAAACTGTCGCTTCCTCATTCCGGACTAAAAGAAAAATCCGTTTGTCAACCGTGCATTCTCAAGAGTTTACTGTTCTAGACGTGTTTCAGCGGTCATTAGCATCATAGGAAACATATCTACTATCTTGGATCCTTTAAAAAAAAAAAAACCAATTTAATCGTACAAGTTTTTATTTTCAATCGGGCGAAAAATTCACTTCCTACGATAATTCTTATGGTTTGATTTTAACTCATCTTCGATGGTAATAACTTGTGGCAATTACCGAATTGAAGTTCACTGTCCTTTTGATGGTGTCGGATCTTTCAAAACGAGAATTCCGGTTTTACGATTGGCTCAATGGGATGTGACGAAACAGGCGGATATCGTTTCTCCATAATTCTTTGATGCGAGAATCGTTTCCGCTTCTGCGCAGATATTTCCGAAAAGACCGCGTGACCATTTTTGAATTACCAAATAAATTATCTCTTGGACAAATATGACTGACCTGATCTCTTCCATAAGAGTATTCTTGTCGTAATTCAGGTGAAAGGCCGCCGCTTTACTCGTAAAATAATAAGCTCTGTAGAAAGAATCGGGACATTAGCCTAGATTGCTTCACATTTTGTCGCGATGAAAGTGAGACGCTCTGTGGTACTGAAAGTCAGTAAATATTGCCAACAGGAAAAAACCTAGATCTGACTTACGTAATTGTTTTTTTAACATATACGTAATGCATATGTAGTCGTTCCCGCCAAAAAACTTGCAGAACACTACTCGCGTGTATTCGTGTATTCATACCAATTTTATATCTTTCATATTATTGTTTCATGTATCTCTATATTAATATTCTAATATAAAAATTTAAAATTTATGCTACGTTATTATTATTTTTAAAACTTGTTTGTCATCTTTTATAAATTTAAATTTTATACTTAATAAACACTAACTTTATGTGACGTCTGTCTATTTTTAAAATTAACCTAATAGCAAAAAATACCAAGCGAGCAAACGATAATTTTTTTTGCTTTATTCATGCCAAATAATATATTATTAATTAATGATATTATTAGTAATATTAGCGAATTATATTAATTATAAATTTAAATATTACTCAACTCAGTCACGTGACTATAAAATGGCACCCATTATTAGAAGTAAGTTCGATTTTTCGATATATAAATTCATATCCAGTTTCATCTTAGCTGGTTTGATTCAAAACAATTCGTACGGTGTTATTTCGTAAAACATTTAATAAAAAACGGATAGATAAAAATGAGGATGTATGAATAAATAAGTTAGACTCAAACAAAAGTAAGCCTAACTGATTTATGGCGGAATGCTTTGTTTCTGATTTCGTGTGACATTTTCACTTCCTATTCATCAGATCGATAACACGCTATCGATTTTTAACAACAGCTGGGTACCATCTCATTTAAAGATCCCAAATATTCACTAAGTTTGTGCGCATTTAGAATCTTTATCGGGTTTGTATCTTAAAGAGGCATTCTGCCAAACTGTTCTTATGCTTTACAAAGTTCATCGTCCTTACGTAGTTACTATGAACCTCTCCATTTATACCATTAAAAACAAATAAAAACACTCAAACTACAAAAAAACTCTACTTATTTTTACACAATTAAACTTCTACCTATTTGTAAATCATCTTTTTTAAAACTTCATTAAACACACAAAAGTGAAGATAAAACGTTCCTTTTTACCAAATTTAGTAAGCAAAAATAGGTAAAAAACAAATATATATATACAATTTTTACAGATTTCTACCAATATATTTTAAAACAATAACAGGTTTGGCTAAATGGGGATATAATTTCGAGTTAGACTACAATATTACTAATTAGTTAAGAAGAATTTTTGGATTTTTATATATCGTGTATATACCAAGAAACAAAATTAAAAACTCCTATATATAGATGATTTTTCCTGTATGTGTAGAGCATGCGCCATAATTGAGTCTAGTGACATCATACTGCGTGGTATCACATCAACGTAATGCGGAAGAGAAGTTTGTCTGGATGTTTTCGTTGAGTTCTGTTATCATTGCCAGAACCATGAACGAAAATAGGTTAGCGGGTCTGTAAAAACGTAATGGGTTCATTTTTTACACGCGAAATAAATTTGTAATTTAATAAGTTTGGTTAAATCATATTATATAATCTTTTCCATCTGTGTTTCTTTAAGTAATTTGAGTTCAAATTACGTAAAATTCAGCAACACATAGATGTATAAAAAAATCAAAAAATCGATAGTAAAAAAAAACTAAACCATATAGTTTTTATATATTAATATATAAATATACATTCAATTAAATAAAATTTCTTTAATTTAATTAAATTTTTTAATGTCGTGAGTGAAAGAATTTAGATTGATTTTTTTCTCTTATAACAAGTAAATCTGCATAACATGTTTATAAAATTATTCAATTTATATATATATACACATATATAGAATCATTTAAAACGTACATTGCCTTACGTAAGAAAATGAGAATAATACTTACTGATGCACATTATAATTTGATTCTATATAAAGACGGTAATTTTATACTTGTACAAACACAAATATTGTATAATCTTGATAAGAAAAACTATGAAAAATTTACTGTATATATATATATATATATATATATATAGGCTATATAAGAACTGTGCAAGAGTGAAATCTCAACATCGAGAACACACTTGACAGATGAACGACTCTCTTCAAGTACAGACATAAAAACGTCCACCCGGTTTGTAAGAACGAGTTTATTCGTAATAGTACAGGCTAGGAAAAAGTACTGTAGGATTTGCCCTACTCTGGCTGTCTTGTTCGCTTGATCTCGAGTAGGTGTATAGTTTCTACTATAACATATTTCACTAAACAAATAGGTTATCTCATATGCTTGTATCTTCCTAGGTCACGGAGAAAATTTATGAATTATACTTTTTTTATTTATACATATAAGGATAAAATAAATTTATACGATTATATAAGTTTTAATGTTTATATAATTTTATTTAAAATTTTTCCTGAATTTGAAATTATCTTAACTGTCGCAAATGTCGCAATATTCTTAGAATTGTGTCAGAAGGTGGTATGACATACTAAAAAATGCATTGAAAAAAACGCAAGTCTGATGAAAGGTTATCGAGTGGCACATATGGAAAAAATTCTGCTCGATTAAATAGCACGAGTTTTCCATATTTTGAATGTCAATCGATTGTTTTCTGGTTCAGAAAAAAAGGAAGAAAGTGCGTTCCTTATCGAATATTTTATTCGATAAAAGGATTAAACGAAAGCAAGCTGGAAGTTTCCTACTTGCAGGTAGTTCAAAGTAAGAATGATATTGAACCAGTGCAGTTTCCGTTTTGTAAATCGAGCATCTTCAGACAGACAAAACTTAAAAGGATGACGTCATATCTGGGTGGTTGGGGTGTTCGTTCAATAAATAGAATAGCCTCACCATTGACTCGGTCCTTCAACTTCGCCTGTAGCAAACCAACAGCCTGTTTGGCTTGCTGCGTCGGACATTCAACTACGTTGTCTTCTACGCATAGTCCAATTGTGTGTCTTCCAGTGATGGATTCTATCCTCTTTGCTCTTATAGGGATCCCCTTTACAGTTATTCAGAAGTAGGTTTAATCGCATGCATCTAATACAAAAGGGATACCGAAGAGTGGATCCCAGGCAACCAGAAAGAAAAAATGCTTCTGAATATTTCCATTTTTATAGCGTATATCTGGTATCCAGGTGTAAAAATATTCCAGATATTTTCTTTTAAAAATCAAGATGTAGGTGGAAATAAATAGCAACGTCCTTTTTATAACTTATACGAAGTCCACTAACCTCATCTTTTCACGGGAATATTGGCTGTCGATCAATGCAAAGGCGTGGTTAGTCCGTTTGTTTCTACGAATGTGTATTGTCTAATATCTTTTTTAATTGCCTGACTGAGAAAATAAAAATGGTCGTTTGATATTAGAGTTTAAAATACAGTCGAAATTTAATTACTAGCCAGAATTAAATGGGCATCTTCTACATCTCTAGCGATTTATCGCCGCCTCTTAACCGATTTTGAAACGTTTTCCTAATCTTAGTTTGTCCTTTTTTCTCTGGAAGTTAACAATTTTTAGCCACTTGTCTGTTTTAAATCACTTCCAACGTAACTGAGTAAACAGTCGGCATTATAAACGACATTAATTTACAAGTTTAATTACTGATGCGTTTCTGTAAATGCCACATAAGTTTATTAAAATAAATAGGCGAACTCCGAAGATAAACTGAATTTATTCACACTTTCCCTGTGTCTTTTGCCCACCTTTTGAATATTATCGTTTCAAAACCCGTCATTCGTTTGTACGTCAAGAAGAAAAAAATTATCTGGTTTAATGAAATAATAAAAAAGCAGTATTCGTTGCACTGTTCTAGATATCTGAATTATTATTTCTTTCAACGAAAACGTTTAATTATTAATCTGTTAAATTATCTGCATTGTTAACGAAAACGATATTTTTTATATACAAAAAAATAATTAGCATGTGTGGAGAAATGTAATATAATAAGGCCTATAATAAAAAGAAAATTAATTTTAAAATTGATATTTGCTAGATTAATAATTATAATAATAAATTAAAAAGAGAAAGAATCGGGGCTGTGTTAATTTTTAATTTTAGAAATTAACCTAGATTTGATAAACCAAGAACGTTTTTAACATAAATTAACAATAATGGGTCACATCCATATATTATCACCCTTAAATGACCAAGTTGACGCTGTACCGGTAGAGAGAACATGCAGGAAAAACCCCCTTACATACTAATTTTATAAATATAAACTGTGTAGAATGAAATCTATACAGTTATTATTTATATCTACCGGTAGTACGAAACTATAGAAGCAAAACTACTTACCGACATACACAGTGGAGTTGATAAAGTATCATATAGTCTACTTAAAGCTTCGAACTTGCACATATTGGCTTGATGCCCACGTGCAATCTAAATATTAAGTTGGTGTGCATATACTACGCACCCATACATAATTTAACTGTACTGTGTAACAACACAATTATTAAGTTGTCAGCATAGGGAAATAATGTCTTCAAGGTCTCCAACTTTAAACCTTAGGAGAGAGAGATAGACAGAGAGAGTACAGAATCGACCTTGAGGTTCGCTACCCTAGCGCACTACTAGGTTCAGGTGGAGAGATACTGCAATGGCTGTGGTGTCGGCCTCTGTTGGCCAATCGTGTAGCTGGAGCGAGTATCATGGCAGCCAACAGCACAGCGCGTACTCCTGACTCAATGGTACATATGGTGGGTGTAAACAAAACTGACTCATATACCATCCTGATCGACTTAAACGATTGTTTGTGTATAAACCGTTTATCACTGCATCGTCACACATTGATAAATTTATAACCTACGCTAACTCGTTCCTATTAATAACGTTTTAAATGCTACACAGCCGATAAATTATATAAATAATTCGATATAATTAATTATTTTAATGGATTACTATCGAATTATCGAATAAATAGAGAAAATTAAAGCACAGACATCATGCACTTGACTCTCTAACCTTGACAGAATTCTGCAACTACATAAATATCGACCTTTCAGTCATTGACCTTCTCCATGCAGTCTCATGTGCTTTCACGTTTTTATCACTTCACGATGTCGCGTGACTTTACACGCAGACTATAGATAGATGTAAGGATAAATTGTACCTCTTTACATCGATTGTGATGTCGGAATTAAATGCATTTTGCCTCCTTTAAAAATGGTGGCCCGTTCAAATGTTAATGTAGGTTATATGCAGATTCGAACGATCGATAAATCAACTGGGTTAAACTGGGTTTAAAATTAATTTTAAATAATTCTTGTTTTATATTTTTGGACATTTTAAAATTGTGTTTAGATATATTTATCATCCGATTGATTATGTTTTTGTTAGATCACGCTTTTATCTGCGAAAGTTCAGAGGAAAATATGTGACTGTGTCAAAACTATTTGCTTTATCTTGCATACGTAAATTATATATAGGTCACAATGCTGTTTTACTATCTTATCTGTGTTCATGGAGGATGTTCTGTAGAGGAAAGTGAGTGAAATAATTCTCTAGTTATTTCCAATCGACTATTGACGTAAATGCAATGTGTTTTTTTATTATAATTTTAATATTCTAGAATTGTTGCTGATTGGTTAACACGAATTGCTTAAATTGCAATCTCCTTGTTTTGAGTGGCTTTTGACATTTATTGCAGAAAATCGTGTCAAATATTCCAAATTTATTACACAACAGAATTTGCATAATAAAAAGAAACAATATATAGATTAGCCTATTTGGACAAACGATTATAATACAATAATTTATTATCAATCAGCTCAGTGCAACATGGGCTAACGAGAATAAGACCTAATTTCTAAAATAATGACGGTAGTTTATAAATTAAACAAACAAAAAATAAAGGTAGAATTTTAATATTTAATTAATATAGAATGACGCTAATNATTATAATGTATTTGGTATATCATAAAACAAACTACGTTCCATATATGTCAGATTTGACCTTCACCAACGTTATACAATAGAAAAATTGGATGATGTCGTATTAACTATGTCAGCATAGGAAAAGCCTACAATTCAACATCACTACATAACCTACTTCGTTAAGGGAATCGTCTAAGCATCCAATAAATGTTTGATTTTTCTCTTTGTTGTTCGCCATTTTTTGATATTGACCTTGGAATATACCTGAATTAATAGACATTCGATTCAAGGTCTTATATGAAGCGTCAATGATTTATCAACATCCATAATTCTTTGCCTGAAGGCAATTAGGAAATAGAAAAAAAAGGTCTTTATTATTATAAATCCGACTTCCTGGTTTGGAATGATTTAATTGAAAAATTCTTCATACTTGTCCTTTATTTCTAAATTGTAAATATTTTACTTAACTGAAATTTCAATTGTTTTAAGTGAAATATTATTCTTGTTAATATTAGTAATCTTTTTATTTTGTAACTTGTTGGGACATCTAAATATCCGTATCGGTTGTGTGACAATGTCGTCATACATTACGTTTGATCGGATACTAAAACCTACGCAAGTTTTAAAATAGTATATAATTTGGTCTGAAGAAATATATAAGATATTCTGTATCTAAAACTACTTTTCCAATGAAATTGAGGATTAGTGGTTTTCTGAAACTGATCACGTCAACATGTTTACAGTAACACCTTATGCATTTATTGGTCTGTCGTCTGGAAACCTTGCAAATTGTTTATTGATTCAAGCATTCGATGATACCTGTAGAAGCATCCTTTTGTAAATCCATCATACATACACAAAATTAATAACTTACTTTAAAAAAATTGAACATCATCTTTTTAATATTGACGTATATATTTTATTCCGTATGCCTAAAATGAAATTTGAAAATTATTTACACAATTTTTATTAAGGTTTATTTCTTATATATCTTAAATTTACTTTTCGGTGAAAGCGGTTTATATTTACTTTTCATATTTTATCAAGAAGGAAGTATCATTTTGACGAAAATCTTTCGTTTAGTATTGATTTTTTTTTTGCTGAAATAATGAAACATGATCGGAATAAACAATCTAAAAGATCTCTTATGACTTAAGAAGCGTTAAACGTTTATCTGGAATAATATTCATAACATAACTTCAATGGAAGAAATTAGCAAGTTATAACCATTTTTAGAGATCTTTATGTGTTTCAATGTAGAACTAATGAAGCAATTATCGTTCTCAACTAAACTAATCCATGCTGCCAATTATACTACCATCGATTGAAATCCGTTCGAATTCCTTCTGATGGTATCTTCTTTTTTTATCCTTCCAATAACGTTTCCATGTTTATCCGTCTCTTCCAATCACCATGACAACCGCCTGGAATCTTCCTGTCTCCCATCCGACATGGGATCTTTCGTTCGATATTAATTTTATCCAATGCAAGCGAGTTCTGCACGTTCCTTTTTGTAATATTACTAAAAATCGCCTTGTAACAGGCTTCTAGCATTAATATCTGTTATAGAGTTATATGTAGATCTTATATATCTATTATGGATATATTAAGAAAGATATTTTTAAGATTTTTCTCAATGTTATATATAAAAGTGAAACTGTTCCTGAAACAATTTGGTCAAGTTTATTGACTCCGGAAGCACGACCAAGGTCATGAGTCACAAGGTCGTTGTCCTAACTGACAGGTTTTGAAGGGGGACTAAGGGATGATATAGGTGTGAATGACCTTACTCAATCTCCACCTTAGTTTTTTGGGTTTTTCCCATTTACGTGTTCGTTTCTTGAATATTAATTCAGTATTATAGTATTTGTCGTAGAAAAGGATAGCAATTTTCACTAATACGATCCTCAAAGTACAATTTATTATCGCATAATGAAGATGAAAATCAAACGTCTGACTTATAAATGTTAGAAACACGTTTTCATTATTAAGCTCCGTATTCGAAAAAAAGGCAAAAGAAAAACACTATAGTGATTCTACGTGAAGAAGATTGTGTTGGAAACAGAAACAGGTCATTGCCACACGTTTGGGGCAAATGGCCCTTCTGGCCTCATCTTTCCTAACTTGCCCAGCTGCTACTCTTCTTGTCCCCACCGTGGGAATTTTGGTGCTTAGCTTTATTCAGAACAAAGAAATTCTAAACTGAAACCTATTCAAAGCTTTAACTCGAGTTAAATATAGAAGCACCGAAAAATAATTCAAGATATTTAATAAAATATTCGATTTTAAAAGCATTTCTTTTCCTTTTTAATGAAACCGTGATATGGGTTATATATCATTTCAAATCTGAATCATAGCCATGACGACAAATGTCGATATAACTGATATTTTAAACCTGACGACGTGTTATTGATTTCGGCACACATTTTTGCTATAAGTCACGAATCTAATTTAAGTGTATGAAGCCTCAAAATAACATATAATCCTACATCAACCAAATTTAAAAGTTAATAACCTAGAAAACACGACAAATTTTCTGTATTAATAAATAAGAAGAAAGTATATTTTAGTAATAATTAACTGGTAGAATACGTAGAACCAATGAAATTTCTAAACAATGAACATTAATGTTCATTTTACTATTGCATGCTACGTAATCTGTTATCATCAGAACACGTACAGTAAATTATTCTTTTTGATGTGGTTTCTCTTAGCACGAATAGAATTGGAGAGCTTCATGAATGATGGCAACTATTGTTTCCTACACCATTGTACAGAGGACAAATTCCCGCTCACATTAGACAATGCCTGTTATTAACCTGTTATAATAGTTTGCAACGGTCGGTGTAGTTTCATATTCAAGGTTAGATTTCGTTTGTCGGAAGTCAGCCTTGTACGTGATAAGAAATTGTCACCTTGAATATCGTTGGAGCAACGTAAATTCTCAGTTGTATGGGTGTATATTTATAAACAGATTCAGAAAATAAATCCATTCATTTATTTTTAATCGTTTAATAAAGCGAAGTAATGAAGTTAAAAGGTAATTATAACACTAATCGACTTTGCCTTTCAATGTTTGGTTTAATGAAACAATCTAATATGCAATGTACGGTTACATTAAATAAAAAAAAATATTCATACATAATATTTCCTGATTTGATTATATGTTGCATCATTTACAGGTGCAATAATTAATAAAATTATAGTATAGGTAAGTTGGCAGAGGTCCAAAAAATATCGAACTTCTTGTAAGAAAGAAAATTTCGTATTAATATAAACAACATAAGAAACTCAATATATTTTTTATTAATAAAAGTGCAGTACTAATTAAGCATGGAAATTTTTATCTTTTATCGTAAATGTCTAGACATAACATCGATAATTAGTTGGAATATGTGGCACTGAATTAAAATGTTTAAGTTACATTAGGTCAGTAGGAGAGGTAGGTTGATGATGATTCAGATCTGCAATCGATAAGCGGAACTGACAAATGATTGATTGTTTGCACTTATGTTGGCGTGGCGTTTATCGGATACTACCTACGGTATAATATGTACAATCCCATTGGATTAAAACAAATAAAATCAATTTTCAAGTATTTTATTTGTTACCGGGTAAATAGAATTCTATTTTTTTAAGTGCAAAATATTGGTTAAAGGAAGCTTTACTGCAATAGTCAGGTGTTACGTAGTGAAAACAACAACACAGGAAA